TCATTTATTTATATATGGTGCTGAGAATCGAACCCAGTGCCTCACACATGCTAGGCAAGTGCTCTACACTGAGCCACAACCCCAGCCCTCTACTATTTTTTGATTACCACAAACTACCATTTCTTATTACTACTTCATATTTTAGAAAATGAGGAACTTTCAACTAAAGCACAGCTTCTTAAATAAGAGTCTCTTAGAAAAATACCCAAAAGTAGGGCATTCATAAAGAAGAAACATGTTGTATACATTTACAATAATTTCTAATATTATTTGATCTATCAATATCTATGTAGAAACTATTTTTTCAAATTAAGAATGATATTCACAGCAATATAATAGTCAATCTTTAAATTATGTAAGAATTCCAAGACTTGGAAGCAGGTTTAATCTAGATACCTTCATGAAGAATGATGCACCTGGAATCTCAAATTGCAGCTGATCATATGAAATGAAGGAATTAAAATGCAAATGCATCATTCATTCTTTCTTGATTATAATTCAAGGGGAAAAGATAGAAAAAAAATTAGGATATTATTCTTCCAATCTATCCATTTACCTGTACTAGTGGCAGAGTTGCTCTGTCCTTCATCTGAATACTGACAAGGATACTGTAATGGCTCATCTGCTCCTGGAAAGTACTATATATACAAAAAAAAAAAAAAAAAATCACAATTTAAAATTTCTGTAACACAAATTAAATTCTGTTAAAGAGTACATCTGAATTATCTTGTGAGATCTGACTGTAGTATAGATGATGCTTTACTTTCCCTAAGGCATACTGAATTTGGAGAGGCCTAAGTTTCTGATTTGACAAAGATGATGATAATATAATCTTCTCCCTTCACAATGTCAACTGTGGACAATGCCATGCACCTACCTAAGCCTCTAGTTTATATGAAGTCTAGACAGTCTTGAAGGAAATAACAATAAATATTTCTCTAGAGGAACATATGGAATAGAATAGTATTATTTCTCATAATTACATGAAACACATTTATGTTCCTTACATATTTACCAATGATGTAAACTTCCAAATTGTTGCAATGACTATTAGTTTGACAAGTGAGACTGACATGACATAGAATAATTATCAGAATATTTTAAATATCAATAAGATAGGCTTGGATATCTTTTTATGAATTTGAGATATGATACTGAAATTATTCACTGGACAAAAAAAAAAAATAGAATTTAGGGGAAAAAAGAGAAAAGTATTCTCAAATTAGACAAATCACATATGAGCACAACCACAATTTAAAAAACTTATATGACTCAAGTTGTGGTTACTCAAATAACCACAAAGACTAAGTTGCTTTCTTATACACATATCTTGAGGGCCGAGGTTTCTACAGGCAAATTTTAACCAGTTAGTTCATATGATGAATACGATGGTAAACTTTAGCCAATTAATTCAAGCTTCCTTGCCTAAGTTATTTTCAAAAGAAGACATTAATTCAATCTTTCACCACTTAGAAAAAAATCACTTAATTTGTATTTAAGGAAACTGCACAATCATCCTGCTGAACAAAGAAAGTGCTCTGAAATCCATACACTTTCATAAAGCATATGAAAATTTATTTCATTTATTTATTTAGTATTTGGGATTGAACCCAGGAGTGCACTACCACTGAGATATAGCTCCAGCCCTTTTATCTTGAGACAAAATCTAATTTTCTCAGGCTGGCCTCAGACTTGGATCCTCCTGTTTCAGCCTCGTAAGAAGCTGGGATTACAGGTGTGTGCCACTATGCCCAGTAGTACATGAGCTTATAAAAATTAAAGTACTACTTGATGGTTTCTGTTAGTGTTCCAAAATCTAAAAGCCTAAGATATAACAAATAATTCTAAAGTATTCAGTTTGCAGACCAGGAAAATTTGATCATCATTTTACAAGGGTTCTTCTAAACTAAAACATTCCATAAATTCTAGGAAAAAAGCTTAATTTTTTACTGGCATGAGAAAACCTGAAAATATGCAACCAAAAACAAACAGTAAAAACCACTCAAATAAATATGCCTGGAGAGTACAACCTCTCTAGTGCCCTGCATAAATGATTAATTTTTTTGTGAAACTCTGTATCGAAAATTTAAAATGTAGGTAGGCATGTAATTAAGAGTCATAATATACCTAAATCTTGTGAAGGCTTTAAATATCATTTAATTCAGCTTCTCTCACATTACAGATGAGGCAACAGGCCTAGAAACAAACATACTGTCCACTAATGTAAGCACTATGAAGCAAGTCCAGAAACCTCACCTAGCCATTTTTCTGTTGTAAAGAACTAAACTTTTTTTCTAAATTAATGTTTCCTTTTCTGATTACATGAATAATATCTACCCTAACATGGAAAATACATAAAATAATTGTGCTCTTTACTTTAAAAATCTATTAAAACTGAGTATATATTAAATTCTCCCAACCCAAAGCCCCTCAAAAGAAGGATTATACCCGCATCAAGTGAGTCATTATTTTCACAATTTCCTCCATGGAAGGGCGCTGAGAAGGATCTTTAGACCAACAACGAGTCATCAGGCTTTCAATGGGCTTAGGTAAATTTTTGATCAGTGGTGGTCGAGTACCTATAATTGAAAATAAGAAGTGGGGGAAGAACATATTTATCAACAGAATGGAGCCAGCTTTTTATACACATTCTAAAACAATATTTATTTTACAGATCTTGTAATTTAAGGGTTGTATTTTGAATTAATGAAAAGTATTTGTTGGGCCCTCAGGTTAGCATTTAGTCTATCTATGTATATTTTCATAATAGGAAACTATGCCTTTAAAAAGGTAAAATAGATTGTTTACAACAAATTATGGCAATTCTAAGACTGAGAATTAACAATATTTGATTTGTAATAAACATTCTTTTAACAAATAACTAAGGCTTAAAAATTTCAAATGTGTTTAGAAAATCATCTTCCATATTCAAAAAGTGGTCACCTATGGTGTTATACTCACTGCTTCCTAATAAGCTTTTTGTGGGAGGCAGACCTTTTGACTACTATGAATCAATTATTTCACAAGTTGAAAACTGCCAAATTTTTAAAATTATCAAGCCTGTAACTTTATTACTAACGTTTACACTTAAAGAAGGCCTCAAATATGCAATCATTGTAACTTAACCAATTAGTAAGTTAGTTTATTTCACTAATGTTCAATCATTTACTGACAATTAATGGTGAGGAAGAGAAAGTAAACTCTCTTGGTTAATGTTCTAACATTCTCTACAATGACAATAAAAGTAGCAACATTAAAGATGCTCCAGGAAACTGATTAAACAGCTAAAAGTAGTGCAATGGTGGTACAATGTGACAGTCTATAAATGACCTAAACGGGCAGACATTTGGTTTTATCACTTGTGAAGCAATGAATAAAAATGAATTAATTAGGATGGTTATAATCAATATAATGACTGAAATAACAGTGATGCTAAAGTTAGGAAGGTTAAATAATTTTCCTTCGTAGTTTATTTCTCAAGGCAAATGCAAAGTAACTTCATTAATGAATAAGATGCATTATAACATCATATGGGGAGAGAAACATCATTAGAAATATAAAAGAATCAAAGGATTACAAGAACGCTGAGTACATAAGTTAACATGACTCAAAAATATAAGCACTGGAGTCACAAAGATCTGGATTTGAATTCCTGCTCTACCACTTACTAATCTTGTGATGTTAGGCAAGTTATTTAACCTCTCTAGGCCTCCGTTTGCTAATTTATAATATAAGAATGGGTGAGAACATAAAAAAAAGGGTATGTGAAGTGCTTTGTGTTTTGCTTGTTTGTGCCTAAGTAAAATCTCTTATTATATGTTCTTGCTTTTTCTTCTTGGTGAAACCCTTGCCTCCCCAGGAGAAAAAGGATATACTTTTTCATTTATCATAACCATGTGAGATGAGATCTTTGTAATTTAATAAATTAACATTTATTTATGTAATTTTTTTTTTTTCTTTTCAGAGTCTAGTCTGATGATTTTCTGTCCCCTGGAGAGAGACAACAGGCTCTAGCTGTGCAGTGATGGTCCTTCCCAAATCAGTACACTAGCAAACATCCTCAGCTCCATGAGGAGGACAAGACTGATTTCTGCATTGCCCCACTAGAATCTGGAGTTGAGAATAGAGACTGGTAATAAGAAAGTAGTCTAGTAACAAAAATTGCACATTTTAATGTTAGGGAAAAACATTTTTTATTCAGCTCTCCTTATTACAGTAACACTATTCCTTTTTAACAAGAATAATCTTCTAAGTAGAAAATAGAAAAAGTAAATTAAAGAAAATTTTATTTTCACGAACCGTTATGAACAGCCCACATAATTCGGAAAGCTGGGCCACCAATCTCATCAAAAGGTTTCCGACGTGTTATCACTTCCCAAAGAATAATACCCCAGCTGAAGACGTCACATTTTTCACTGTAATTGCTACCTAGAAAAAAAAAAAAAAAAAAATTAAATTGCAGGGTCTATATATATATATATATATATATAAAATCTTGAAACTTTTTCCACATGAAATATAGAAACAACTACTTTCAGAATTTTCTGGGTACCTCAATATAAAACCAAGACAAGAGGCTGCCACATGTACAGTGAAAAAATTATTCTTTCTGAAGTACCTTAAATTTGTTCAACAACTACATTTTTTAATAAATTAAGGATCAACCATACACTAAACAATCTACTTTGGAAAGTTATTTTCTATCCTTTTAATCAAGAGGCCAAGTCATTTTTATATATACAGACTGATAATTTCTCTGGGGCAGAGTATGAAATATTTGTAAATTCCTTTCTGTAATTTTTCTTTCTTTTTTTTCTTTTTCTTTTCTTTCTTTCTTTTTCTTTTTTTTTTGTGGTACTGGGGATTGAATCTCCAGGGCCTTGTAAGTATAAAGCATGTGTTCTACCAATCAACTATACCCCGATCCCTGTAATTTTTTAATCTTAAAATTTCCCCCTATTCTCTAATGGGCTACACTACACTGCATGTTATCAGAGCAAAAGACATTTTAAATTTAGTGTTCTTTTCTCAATATATGGTGAGATAAAACTCTTAATTTGTAAACTTAAAAATAAGTTGTAAGTAATGGAAATTATGGCTAACCTATTTACAGGAACAGATTATAAACCAAAATTTACAGAACCACTATGGAATATGAATCTGCACAATAAATAGCCAAAAAACATACCTAAAACCAAACCAAAACAAATACCCACAAAACAACTTGTTATAAGGATGAAACATTATTATACTGATAGATTTTCATGCTAAGTAGTAGGCTACAATGTAGTACTGCAATGATGTCACAATCTTATTTGGGGTACAGGTGCTGCCAGATGATACATCTTTCAGACATATAGAAATTTTACAGTCTAATAGACTAAGTTTTGTTTTCCTAAACAATTAATGGTAACTATTACTCTTCTATATGAACAAATATTTTGGCTCTCCTTATTACAGTAACACTGTTCCTTTTTAACATTATAGAAAGTTATTAAATACGTATTTTTTTTAAAAAATGCCAAATAATATCCATTCTGTGTATGAACCAGAAGATATTATTTAATTTTGTGTAATTCGATACTTGTTTGTCCACAAACAGCTCCACTCAAGTAAAAGCTACATAGCATTTTTTTCTTTCTCTGGGGTGGCTAAAAAACAAAGAAACAAAATCTTAGCAAAAATAAAAGAAATAAACTATAGCCAGAATCAGATTACTTAATGCAAATTTTATGGGCATTCATACTTTCTAACATATAAACCAGATAGCTTGAGTTCAACTTCTCTCATTTAAAAGATAATTTAAATGTTTTTATATAGAAAATTAGTAATAGCCAGGCGCAGTGGTGCATGCCTGTAAACCCAGCAACTCAGGAGGCTGAGGCCCTAAGCAACTCAGGAAGAACTTGTCTCTAAATAAAATGCAAAAACGGGCTGAGAATGTGGCTCAGTACTTAAGCAACCCTGGGTTCAATCCCTGGTACCAAAAAGAAAAAAAAAGAAAAGGAAAATTAGTATGTAAGGTCTGAACTACTCTTTTAGAACCTGAAAGTAAACATAAGCACCCTTTATTTTTAGTTCTTAGTATCAGATTTCTCTACCCAGTTATTTGCATTTTTTAAAGACATGCTCTTTGAAACTTTTAGCTGTTAATTTTTAATCGCTAGACAAAAGCACAGTTGATTATCATTTTTCCCAGCACTTCTATAAAGTATCTGTGAACACTGACTTAACACTGAATCACTACTTTTACAGAAAATATAGGGTTAAGGTTCCCTGATGTGTCCTATCACAAAATTTATAAACTAATCGATAAACAACTTAAACAACTTTCTGTGCTAAGTTTGCTTATTTAAAGAACCTTATTAACACGTAACACTGATTTACTAAAATTGAACTCTTAACTGTGAATCATGTCCAAATGAATGCTATCTAACACATGCATTTTCAGGTATTGTCTTACAAATTCACAGCCTTCTTGTCCCTGGGCATCATTAAAATTGGAAACCATTTTTAATAGCAAAAATCACCAATAAAATCATCTAAGTGGGGAAAATGTGGCTCTTAATAGATAACAAAATGGAGACCCATTTATATCATTTGTCAAACAAGAAGGTAGAAAATCAAGAATCAATAAATGGGATGGATTCAAACTAAAAAGTTTCTTCTCAACAAAAGAAACAATCTGTGAGGTGAACAGAGAGCCTACATCTTGGGAGCAAATTTTTACCCCTCACACATCAGATAGAGCACGAATCTCTAGGGTATATAAAGAACTCAAAAAGCTAAACACCAAAAAAACAAATAACCTAATCGACAAATGGGACAAGGACTTGAACAGACACTTCTCAGAAAAGGATAATACAATGAATCAACAAATATATGAAAAAAGTTCACCATCTCTAGCAATTAGGGAAATGTAAATCAAAACAACTCTTAAGATTTCATCTCACTCCTGTCAGAATGGCAGCTATTATGAAAACAAACAACAATATAAGTGTTGTCGAGGATGTGGGGAAAAAGGTACACTCATACATTGCTGGTGGGACTGTAAATTGGTGCAGCCAATAGAAAAGCAGTATAGATTCCTTGGAATATTGGAAATGGAACCACCATTTGACCCAGCTATCCCTCTCCTCAGTCTATACCCAAAGGACTTAAAAATAGCATCCTATAGTGACATAGCCACATCAATGTTTATAGCAGCACAATTCACAATAGCTAAACTATGGAACCAACCTAGATTCCCTTCAGTAGATTAATGGATAAAGAAAATGTGGCATGTGTACACAATGGAATTTTACTCAGCAATAAAAGAGAATAAAATCATAGCATTTGCAGGTAAATTGTTGATGGAGTTGGAGAAGAGAATGCTAAGTGAAGTTAGTCAATCCCCCCAAAAACAAATGCCGAATGTTTTCTTTGATATAAGGAGGCTGATTCATAGTGGTGTAGGGAGGGGGAGCATGGGAGGAATAGACGAAGTCTAGATAGGGCAGAGGGGTGGGAGGGGAAGGGTGAGGGCAGGGGGTTAGAAATGATGGTGAAATGTGATGGACATCATTATCCAAAGTATATGTATGAAGACACGAATTGGTGTGAATATACTTTGTACACAACTAGAGATATGAAAAATTGTGCTCTATTTGTGTAATATGAATAGTAATGCAACCTGGTGTCATATATAAAAAATTCTTTTAAAAAATGCAAATCTGTATATACTAAGACAAGAGAATAAAGCAAGCATAGAAAACCAAAAAAAAAAAAGAAGGTGGAACTTCATCTAGTTTCAACTTACACTAGGAAGTATGTTGGGTGACTTAAAATGTGCACTGCTATACACATGGTATGTGAATAACAGAAACAGCACCCACCACAAGTGCTCATCTGGGGGTTACAAGTGAAGTGTAGTAACTAGGCAATTTTGTAATTATGGAATCTATGAACAATGAGGATTAGCTACACATGTGCTTGAATATGCATGAAAGATGCCAGACAATTTAAATTTTGCCATAAAATTGGGATCTAAGGCTATATTTTTAAAAGCCTTTTCAGACTTCTGTTTGTTCCTAAATTATATACTATGAAGAAATAAAACCATAGATACAGGGAAAATTTATATATACATATTCAATTCACATGGAGTAAGATAAATTATCAGTCATATCTTGTTTCTGTCATTGTACCTTCAAAAACTTCAGGTGCCATCCAAGCAGCACTTCCCTTGTTATTGGTCATGTGTGTCTGAATGTCACAGGCTGTACCAAAATCACAGATTTTTAGAACTGTCCCCCCTGCAACCAGCAGCAAGCTGTTTAAAAACAAAACAAAACAAAAAAAACACAAAAAGTTATAAGACCAATATTTGATTCTACAATAAAAGAAGTGACATTTGTGAGGGTAAAAGGAGTTAAACAAAATAAATGTTATCATTAAACTTCTGTGAAATGTTATCTGGTCACTTTAAGAGCCAAAGAGTTCAGAGGAATATCAGTAAAAATTAACTGACCATAATCTAATGCTATCTTAGGGAGACTAACACACTCACATTTTGATGTCCTCATTTCTAGCTCCATAATCTGTCCTGACCACAATATTCCCTGGCCAAAATAAAGCAAGGGGTTTATAAAACTTCCAGCAGCTCAACATTATGGTATCTGGAAGTAGAAGTCCAATCATAATATGTATTATTATTTGAAAAATAATGACATCATATAATTAAAGTAAAATATACCAATACAAGAAAAAATAGTCTTTTAAATGTTTTTTTTCATTTTGAAGATATTTCTAAAAATGTTCAAACTACTTTTTTTTTTTTTTTTTTTTTTGTCTAGAATATGTATGTGTGGGAAAACATGTAGATACAAATCTACTATGGTTAAAATAACCTACTGAAAGGTTTCCAGAAATTTTTCAGAACTTAAGATTCTCTAGGTGATATTATTACCCAATTATAATTATGAAGAGGCACTTAGGTATTGCTTTGGATGACAAATAAATAGAGATGGGTAATATAATTTATAAAAATCATACTATATTTATATTCAACAGTCATTAGAATATGGGAACTAATTTTAATTATAAATTTCATAAACTTTGTATATATAATTTTATACTTAAATTCTAATTGGAGAGATTTAGAATCATTTTTTTCATTTCATTGTGACTAAGATAGCCATCTCTATAACACCAAAAATACTCCCATGATAATTCAAATGGAAAAAAAAATGCTTAATGCAATTTACCTCTATACTCAATTCAACAACAAAAAAACCTCCCCAACTTATTGTTCTTGTTAGAATTCTTATTACCCTTTACTCAAGGCAATACAAATACTCTGTAACTGGTTTCCTTATTTCATCCTGGTAAAAATCTATATATCCAAGTAATTTTTACAAATGACATTTATAATTTGTACTCCTTTTCTCATAAGTCTTCAATAATCTACCAACCCTGAACATGACATTCAAGGCTCAATGAAATCTGAATTTAAATCTTGTGGGCTTACTGTCACAAAGTTAAGACTGAAAGCACATTGTAGTTTCTGAGGTACATGTGAACGAACTTGCAAAGGATAAATAAAATAAAAGAGGGACACAGTTCAACGTGACACTATGTAAAACTCCTCACCAAATCATCAAGGGTCCCTTCTTTATGTGCTACTCTGGGAACTGTTCTTAATCAGAGAAGCTGTTGGTTTTCCACTGACAATAAGACTTAGCAGGTGTGTGTACATTCAATTGTATATGAAAGCGTAGCCATTCCACAAAATTCCCTTTCCCTAGTACATTTTAGGAAATCAATTCTAATTCTAAAGTCTGACTAGTATACTGGGTGCCCCAAAGATGATTTGTAATACTATAGGATGAATCAACTAAAGAGATGCTGAAGGGAAATGAAGGACCCAGACCTAACTTCTTGTAAATATTAGTGGCATTTACTAGCAAAAGAAGAATCCTTTGGATTTTATTAGGATATTTCTGGGCAGTCATGCCAGGCTTATGAAGTAAAATCTAAAATTTATGGGATATATTGTTGAAGGATATTAGGGTCACTGGTTAAACTATTTGATTAATGCAATATAAAAGATGTTAGAAAATGTAAATAACTTCCTTGTGTAAGATATTTCTTTATATATATTATTCAGTAACCAGTCATTTGTTCCAAAACCAAAACACATCCTAATAGAGATGAAAAAGGACACTGTTGGGTGTTGCATCTGATGGTTTTGGCTCCTTCAGGAAAAAAAATATTTTGTGCCTCATGCTTACCTAAACCCTTTGAATCATTAGTCATGTATTACTGTGAGAGCTATGATTCTCAAAAGCCTGTTTTAAGCATTCAACTCTGTGTTAATAGAGTGGGGGTGGGGGAGGACTAAATATCAGTAAGGAAAAAAGGGGCTAAGTGATTTCTTTTTCACCGATCAAGACAGATAACTAAGACATGGGAGACACATGAAAAAATAAAAATGTCATGAATTTAGAGCGTAAACATTATTTTACCAGGGATATGGGAAAACAGAATTCATTTTAAGTGTGGAAGTAGAAGGCACACTTGCACCAACAACAATTTCAAGATTTAGAACTATGTAGAGTACATCAGATTAAACATGAGAGAGATGAATTATAACAGAAGGGATGCTTTAATGTTTTAAGCCAGTATCAAGAAAATGAAATAAATGAAGACTATACTGTTACAATGTGACTGATTTCCTAAGAGAAATTTCATGTGGAGGGAAGAAGATATGTGGAGATGTTCTTAGTCTTTCATAGGTGAGTACAGAAGGAAAAAAACTTAGACAAAAAAATAATAATACATTTCATGTATACTTTCTTTAATTGAATATCTAGACAAATGAAAAAATCCAAAAGTTTTAGCCTTTTAAAGTTATTTAAGGAATTTTATTCAAATTCTTTCAAAATCCCAGGATTCTTGATATGGAAAAATATGGAATAATTTTAATTTCTACCCAGATGCCAGAAATTCCTTTTGCATTCCTCTGAAAGGACAAGTAATACCACTGTAAATTTTTGTGAAATGTCTACTGTGTGTGAACACTGTGCTCATTGTTAGGAATACAGAGGAACAATATGTCAAATTTGTCTTTGCTCTTGAAATATGTCTAGGAGTAATGTTATATACTGCATACACAAAATGAGATCAATAGGCTAACAGACTCTAGAAGTCTGATAATCTAAGGCAGGAGTTATTAAAGATAAAAATCTCCCCAAAGACAACATTCTAAAATATAACCTTAGATAAATGACTAAATGATGAAGAAATGAGTAAATATTCTTGACTCTGCTAAAAGGGAAGAGAAAAAAGAAACTCATGGTCAACAACTACCTTGAATTAGGGAATAGGCAAAGAGTGGAGAGAGACAGGGAGGGAAGTGTTACATTATTAGAACTTACTTTGGAGGTTTCAGGTCCCTGTGAATTAGAGCTTTGGGTTGCATGCTGTGTAGATAAGCCACTCCTTGGGAACACTGTAAACACCAACTCATTGCATGGGCGGCAGTGTAATATGGCAATGGTTCAGCACCATGAAGCACTGCAAAACAAAGGCACAAACTAAAAAGAACTTTATTGCATATAACCAAAGACACAATGTGAATGCAAGCTCTTTCAGAACACATGATCAGGTATTTTTCTACACCTGTTCCTATTATTAGTCCTGCTCTCAATTTTCTTCTAAATAAAAAAGATGGAAATATGTAATAATTTTGAGTGGATAACAGCCATAAATACCTAACATTTAATAGGATTTCAATTTAATGTTATTTGTACATCCAAATTAATATACATTACATACTTTTTCAAATTAATAGTCACACAGAAATGTAAATGACAAGCAGTGTTAGTCACACTACAATAAAATAGATGCACAGAAATAGTACAAAACTAAGATGGGCATATCAAGATATTTATAATTATACTGTCTATAATAACTAAAAACCAGTACTTCAACCAAATAAAACAATGAAGTTCTAGATAACCCATTAACAATGAAGGAAACATAGACAGTAAATATAAAGTACAAATTTATATAAAATGTTAATTTAAAAATCAATGTAACTGTTTTATAAGTATAATCAATTTGAAAATTGGTAGACTTAGAATTCTAAATCTCACATACTAATGTAGCATCTTATCTTTTCATTTTTAATCTTTAAGAGTTTTTTTAAATGACTTACTTTTGGAACTGTGATGGTAAACTGTGAAGAACATTAAATAACTTATAGTTTGTATTACAAGTTTTCAAATTATTTTAATCTACCAGATAAAGACAGGTCTAATGACACTCACCATTATATAAAGAGCCTCCTTCAGCATATTCCATCACAAGACACACCTAAAGGAAACATGCCAAAAGAATTAACTGGATTTATATAGCATCTTAGAGCCCTGGAAAACTAAATTCAACCTCTTGATTTTATAGGTACATTAAAAATTATTATTTTGGTCTTTATCATGTGTGCTAAACTAAGAAATGAAGGGGTGATATCTATGACTTAAACACTTTGTCTTCTATGTGTCCTCTAAGAGTGGAGATGAATATGAAAATATAATCACAAAATATTTTGGTGACTTTCTCTAGTACTAATAAGTAGATGAGGTTAATAGATAAGGCCACCTAAAACAACTCCTCTAATATACTGTTTCACTAAAAGACTAGAAACATATCAAATACACAAAGTACAACTGTTTTTTTCAGAAATATACCTAAGAGAGTAGATCAAAATAATTTCATGTACTACATATTTGCATACATCTGTCATGTCATTTCTTCTAGACAAGATGACAATGAAAAAGTGACAAACTTACTGGATTCAAGCAAGCTCCATACAACTTTACAATATTAGGATGGTTCACACGGGATAACTGCCGAAGCTATAACAAATTAAGAATATTTTTAAAAAGTGATAGTTTTTGAGGTGTTAATTTCACAACATTATTAAATGTGATGGTCATACAAACTATTTGTTTAAACCATTCAACAATTACTATTTACCATGTAGCAAGCTCTGTGGTCTCAGGCACTGAAAATACCAAGTGCCGACCTAGAATGGCACAGAATAGTTTGGCACTCCAGTAGTTTAGCTGGGAAGACAGGCAGATAAACAAATACTTGTAAACAATGTGCAGAGTGCTATAACAAGAGTTATGAAGAATGCATGAGCACACAGAAGAAACAAATCCTGCCAAGAAATGTTAGGACATCATCTCAGAGACGGCAGTGAGCCGAGTTATCCAAGCCAGAGGCCACTCTACTTTTGTCATCCCTGTCTTTGCAGCCACTGCTGATCTTAGAGTCTACCTACTCCCATGTGGCCCAGTTTTATTTGATATTATATAATCATCACAACACTGCAAGGAAGGTAATATCCTTTCTGTTTTAAAGACAAGACCTTAAAGTGAAGGCCTAGAAATCCTACAGATTGAACTTTGGTCTATCTGACTTATAATGTGTACTCTTTCTGTACATTTGTCTCCAGTTCCACCATTTATCTCTTAAAATAATCCCCTCCTATCCATTCTCACTCTCTTAGTAATTCCAACCTGAATTGCTGCAATAATTACTCTAGCTACCTCCTAGCCAGTTTCCCTACTTCCGGTTTTAATCTTCAACGATCCAATAATTCACACTGATGTTTATGAGGGTTTGGCTGTACTCATTTCTTTTGTTCCACATCTAAACTTGTATAAATCCATCAAGTCCCAAGTTTTCAATTCTGTGAATATTTTAGGGAAGTTGTCACATGTGCATTAAGGTAGGTTGAAAATCATAACCTAGAGCATACATGTGTGTATATATACATACATATATATACTCTTAATATTATAGTTACCATATTTAATATCATTATAATATATATTATTACTATATTTAAGTTTCTATAGGTGTTTCACATCTAGGAAGATGGGACAAAATGGGTTAATGTATCCTTTCCACAAAACTGCTTCTTGGTCTCTTCTCCATTTGCCTTTCTATTCTGCCGTTAACCTTTTGCACTATTACCTACATTATGCTCCAGCTTATATTAAGTCCACTGAAGTCTCTAAATCTTTTTACTATATGCTACTAGAAAGCTTTGTCTCTCTACAGTCAACATTTACAGATTTGGGGTCCTAACTGAAAAACTAACATGACTCTTTACTATATTTATCATAAATATGTACTTATATTTTATTCTAGTAAGATTCAGACAGCAGATTATTTAAGCACTTATCCCATTTCCCCCCTAAGATGGTAAAGGCCTTTTTTAAGGTATAAACTCAAAAGGATGGAAAGAATGTGAAATGAGAAAACAGAAGCACACATTTTTGGAAGCTAGAAAGCTAATGACTAGCAATAACAGACATAATAGATCTAAAAGAACTGAAAACTGCAATTAGAAAAACATTAAGAAAGAATCAACCAGACTGTTTTCATAAAACCTCCAAGAGATTGAGTGGTAGTACCAGATACCTATGCAAATGAGCCAGTAAACGGGGATAGGGAAGAAGTCGTGGAAAATTCGATCCCCAATTTCCTCCCCTAACCTCCAATAGCTCAATGACTATCTCAGGACATCCAAACAGAAGACTAGAGGCTAATTCTTTAGGGACAGTACAACAAATAGCTTCTGGATTAGGGGACACTAAACACCAAAGTGGGTGTCTCTTGGAAGCAGAAAATTTAGATGGGAGAAGCTATAGGGGATTATAGTTTCTTATTATACAGTCTTAGAGAACAACTGGACTCTTTAAATTACATGTGTGTACAAGTTAATTTAAAAATTTTCCCATGCTATTATGATCTTTTGGACTTTTGATTCCTAGCATTTAACACACATGCATCCCATCCATCTTTGTGACACTGTCATTGCAACAGTATATGATGACTGTATCTAACTATAAACAAAAAATTGGGACTAAGGTAAGGCTGAGTCTAGATTCCTAGAGCACACTATTAAAGATCATCTTCCTTTAATAATTAAACCAATCATCAGTGTTTCTCATTTCACCCAGTCAATTATAAATCACTTCATCATATCACAATTAAATTCTAATTTCTTTAAAATTAAAGGCATGTGGTGGTACATGCCTATAATCCCAGCGACTAGGGAGCCTGAGTCAGGGGAATTGCTAAATATGAGGCCAGCCTAAGCAACTGAGACCCTGTCTCAAAATAAAAATTAAAAAGGGCTGAGGATGTTGAAAAGCACGCTTGGGTTCAATCCCCAAATACTGACAACAAAATGAAACAAAGCTTATTTTTCCATGTTATACATTAAAAGAAAAAAAAGTAAGTATATTTCGAAATTCTGATTAAATGAGAACAGATATAAATTCAGAAGCTTTATAAGGTAAAGGTCACTAATCCATTGGCAAATGAGATTAAAAGTGTAAAGCACTGATTTAATCAAATACTGTGATCTATATACAAAATAATACAAAGTTAATATAATAAGGAATAAATCTAATAATATAATGACCTCATGATTACCAAACTTGCCTTCATCATCCAATCTGTGAAAGAACAGAACTGTAAATTTTCATGCTAAATCAGGAAAAACTAAATTTGAAGTTATTTTTCCTTAAAATAATCTCATTTGAATTTCTAAAAATATTAAGAATGAATGCATAAATTTCTTTTAATTTTCAATAATGAGAAAATATTTTTTTTCTATTTCAAAATTAAAGTAACATGCCTTAAAATAGATGAGATACTATTTTAATTCAGGGATGAATTCATTTAAATTTTAAGTTTATCCCTAATTTAAAATCAGAATTAAAAGTGTGAATGAAAAAATATTTCTATGGTACTACCTTTGGTTCAACCAAATTGATGTTCATGTATACAGAGAAATGACAATTGAAAAACGATGCCTTTGATAATATTAAATTCACAGAGTATCTCAGGTGAAGGATTACACACCAGAAATAAAATCTCAACTTACCTCTACAATAAAAGCTTTCCTCTCAGATTCACTTTCTATTTGTTTAATAGCAACATCTTTTGCTCTCCACTTAGCTTTGCAAACTACTCCAAATGCTCCTCTTCCAACAACCTAAATGAAAAGAAAAACCCAAAAGAATCAGAAGCAAATAGATTCAGTTCAAATAAACACTGGAGACAATCAAATCTGATTAAGAAAATTTTAGAAATCATCCATATCTGGATTTGCCACTGGGTAAGAAGTGATTTTGATTAAAGTAAAGAGATAATAAAATGTACTGTTTCAATCTGTAAAATAGATTGTACTGTTTCAATGGTCTAGACACCCCTTCATTTTCAAATAAAATCAAAAGCAACAAACCAAAACATTATTTGAAGGCATAAACAATGTAAAGCATTCTATTAATTATAGAAAAAAATTGAAATAGGCAAGATGAATGAACAGAAGATGGTTCAGAAAAATAAAAAGCAGAAACATAATAATTATAATAAATGTTTTAAGCTATTGTATTTAAAAGCAAAAAATAGCTTTGAATAATTAAGTAAGGATAGTGAATAAAAGAAAGGATAAAAAATATAATTAAAGATGCAATATTGAAAGATGGACAAAATGCAGTATTACCTATACAATAGAATATTATTCATCAGGAAAGAAACAAACTACTGATACATACAACACCACAGATGAACCTCAAAAATACCATACTACTAAAAAAAAAAAAAATACTAAGGGCTGGGGTTGTGGCTCAGTGGTAGAGCACTCGCCTAGCATATGCAAGGCCCTGGGTTCGATCCTCAGCACCACATAAAAATAAATAAGTAAAGTGTCCAACTACAACTAAAAAATAAGTATTAAAAAAATTATACTAAGTGAAAAAAGCCAGTCCACATATCAGATTCCATTTGTATGCAATGCCCAGGAAAGAAAAATTTATAGTGTTATAAAGTAGATCAGTAGTTGCTTAGTTCTGAAGGTGAAAACTGGAATTAATGTAGCAAGTATCTTGCAAAGATGATGAAATATTATAACTGATTTACTGTAATGGTGACCAACTGGGTAAATTTGCAAGTCACTGAACTGTAACATTTCAAGAGGGTGAATTTTATAATATGTAAAATATATCTCATTTTTAAAAATTAAAAATGATCAGCTGTGTATCGTATCACTGTCTGAAACTAACAGATATCACATGGGTCCATCACTTGGTCAAATTGTTTTATTTTTATTTGAAATTTTCCATACTATAAAAATAACAATGGAATAAAACAAAATAAAAATTAGCTTTTATACCTGTTAGAACAACTCTCTATATAGCATATATTTTCTATGTAGACAGTGAGCTCCATGCTTTACATACATCACCTTATTTACACATCCATAGAAGGCAAGTACTAATGCTATCCTCATTTTACAGAAATTAGATTTAAATTAAATTTATAGATTTTATAATAAGTTAGATTTATAGATTTAAAGAAGTAAATTGACTTCCCAAGGATATGCAGCAAACAAATGGTACAGTGCAGTTTAATGCCAGGCAGTCTAATACTAGAATGGTAGCAATCCTAATTTGTAACACACATAATGTCCTCCATATGCCAGACAGCAGTTATGTCTTCTCTTGGAGGAATTTTCACTTTAGGGAAACTTACATAAAACTCTTCTATAACAAAGCTGACTATAGCTAGGATGATCAGATGATTTATTATCTACATAGGGACACTTTGTAGGGGGCATTAATAATGACTATACCAGACAAGGAATAGTTGAACATGCCTGTAATACCAGTCACTCCTTGATTGGCTGAGGCAGAAGGATATCAAGTATGAAGCCTGCTTCAGCTTTAGTGAGACCCTATCACAAAATAAAAAATAAAAAAGGACAGGGGATGTAGCTTAGAGGTCGAGTACCCCTGGGTTTAATTCCTGTACAGAATATAACAACAACAACAACTATTCCAGGACAGTAATTGTAATCGGGAATGTATGGACACTCTAGCCATGGCTCAAATTATACTTCATAAATCATTTATGTATAAAGCCACCCAAATGGTCAACCTCTGCTGAATGTTTACCTCGTGCCAGATATTCTTCTACGTGCTTCATGCACTAACATGTTTCGTTCTGCTTCATTTTAAAGGTAAGAAAATCAGGTCACATGATTACAAGATCAGATAGTCACACAGTATTCAGAGAAGTCAGGATCTGAAGCATAGAGCATATATTTTTCAACATGCTCTATATGCAACTTTGCCTTAAGGAAACAAGGATGCCTCTAGGCAAAATTGCAAATTAGGCCAATATTTCTGGTGGCCAGTCCTTCCTTTGGTAACTTTTTCTTTTATGCTTCGTAACTCTGGACCTCAGGGTCCTCCAGCTGCTTAGGCACTTGGTCTCTTCCAAACCTCTAGTAAGAGAAAGAAACTAACATGAATCATTTGCATATCATCTAGTTACTTTACTATGAATGGGTAGTGGTTACCAGGCACCATTAAAATAATGAAAAGAGCATGCCCAGGGGCTGGGGTTGTAGTGTGCCTTCCTAGCACATATGAGGCACTGGGTTTGATCCTCAGAACCACATAAAAAGAAATAAATAAAATATTTGGGGTTGGGGTTGCGGCTCAAATGTAGAGGGCTTGCCTAACATGTGTGAGGCACAGGGTTTGATCCTCAGCACCACATATAAATAAATAAAATAAAGGTATTGTGTCCATCTACAACTAAAAATATTAAAAAAAAAAAAAAAAAGAGGATGCCCAGGCTCTAGAACCTAATAGCCTTGAATTTGCACGTAGTCTCTATTTATTAGGTCTTAATACTGGGCAAGTTAATGTCCTTGAGCTTCTGTTTTTCTTAACAGTAAAACAGAGATGCTTACAATTTTCTCAGTAAATAACGATAGGGTCCACAAATGAAAATTAGGCATTTGTATAATTACTACAAAAGAACAGTAAGTGCTTAGGGTTGGGTGTGAATCAGTGAACAGAGCTGTAGTACTCAAATTTTCTCTCACAGTAAATTAATATGGATAGTAAACAGGGCCTAAAAGTTTTTCAACTTTATGGCCACATCAGACTAAGAAGCTATGCACAGAAACCAGTCTAACTATAAACTAATGATTATAAAGTAATTTAATGTATTCTTCAACCATATATTACAATATATCAAAGCAACTGGTACTTAGTAGGACTCCCTTTCATTTTTCTATTCTGAGGAATGTTCACACAGGGATTTCAAACATCACCTCTATCTGTGGATCATGCATCCCCTTCTCAAAAAAATTGTGTAGGGTATATATGACCAGTTGTGATCGATCCACAAGTGCCACCTAGTGATGAGATGATATCTAACTCCGAGCTTTCAACTTAAAATTATGGGAACAAACAGTGGGCAAATGAGGACATAATAAATTTTTCCCTTTTGCTCAAGAAAGCAATTTTCCAGAACACCCTGAAATATAAAACAGGCACATTCATGATGAGAGCCTATGGCTTCAAGAAAACTCCGTTCTCATTATAGTTTTAAGATATTTTATAAACAGAATGAAATAATAGGATCTAAAGGCAAGATGTCCAAGGCTGTACACATACATAGATATGACAGAAATAACTGCAATGAATTAAAAGGAGTAAGGCTATAAGCACAAAGTCAATGCTTGAGAATTAAATTTCTATGTATCAAAAATGACTTCTTTCCCCCCAACAGTATAAATATAGATATATTTGGGGTAAAAAGAAAAAGAATTTGTAAACAAGAGACCACTATCTTCATGGGATAAAATGAAGGTACAGAAAAATTCAAGACTAAACAACAGTAGTATTTCTTTTTAAAATACTTAACAGCTGAAGAGAACCAAAACTCAGAGTCCATGATGGAGGTTAAAGACTTCACCCCCAATCTGACCTGTTCCAGAAAAGGCTTAGGAATTCAAAGGCAGAAAAAACTTATATTGGCCTCACCTACTCCTCACTTAGACCCCCAATAGGAGGCAGCCTCACAGAATGTCTTGCAAACAAGAGAAGACACAAATGAGTAAGAATAGTGGCAAAAGAGATAAGACAGAGGGAGGCTATATCCCAAGCTCCCCTGGCCCCAGAACATGGAAGTGATCAGGAAAAACTGACAAAAGAGGTAACTGACAAAAAAGGTAACTGACAAAGAGTCTTCTGACAATGGGAAGGAAGCTATTATAGGGCAGAGTGTTAGGACTTACATCAGAGGCTGTTGAATGAAAGACTGCTCAAAAAAAGGGGGGCTTAATGCAGAGAACAGGCTGAGTTCCTGAGGATCAATGAAAGTCAAGTAAAAGGCCTAGTTAGCAAGCAGGGAGAAATGGGCAACAGCTACCTGAAAATGAGGCTTTATGAAAAGAGAATAAATGAACTTCATTTCTTTACTCCTTATACCAACAACTCTTGAGGGCCTACTATATTCAGCTACTGTTTGGTATACCAGAAATACAGAAGTAAAGACAAAGGCCTTGATCTACTGTGAAATATAATTCCTAATATATCGGGCCAGTGGAGGAGAAAGAACAATTAAAACATAAAAGGATGAATAAAAACAGAAAGCCAGACTGTTTTTAAAAAGACACACAGACAATAAAAAAAAAACGCAAGGACATTATGACAAAAACTGGTGACAGCTTCTGATTGGGAAGAATAGGAGCCCATCTGAGGAGGTTATTAACCTGATATTTGAATGACAAAGGGAATCAACCAACATGAGGGAGAAGAAACAATTAATATAAAGTCCCTAAGAGAAAATAGCCTCCTTATTCATAATATTTGAATTCTATCTATGGTCTAGGCACTATTCTGGATTATAGATACAAAGCAGCAAACAAACGAAACTGAAATCCTTACTCTTGCTGTTTATATTCTTAGGAAGAGAAACTGATAGATAGGAAGAAAAGTATACAAAATTTCAGAAAGTAAGTGTGCTAGGAAAAAGAGTAACATAATTGTATATGTGTTTACATGTATGTATGCACTTCCCCATCCACCTAATTTTAGATAGGCCTCACTGAAGAAAGGTGACATTTTATTAATGACCTAGAAAAATACTTAGAGTGTTTAGTGTGGTTGGTGCCTAGCAGGGAAAGAGAAAAGT